TTGTCTTATGACTTTTTGCAACCTTTTCAGCAGCTACCATCTTTTTCTGAAAATAAGACATCCTCCGAAAATAAGACCGATCGTGATTTTCGGAACTTTTTGTAAAATAAGACATCCTCCGAAAATAAGCCCTATCGTAATTTTCGGAACTTTTTCTAAAATAAGACATCCCCCAAAAATAATCCCTAGTTAAAATAATGAGACAAAAAGAATTCATTAAAAAATGCTGTTGATTTATTAAGTATGAGTAATAATATGTTTAGCTTTCCTAATACTTGTATTTCAGAGAAATGTTTGAAACAAAATATTCCGAGAAATTAATTGTTTACCTCTACAGTTCGTTTCAAATTAATTCTTGTAATTTATCTTAACCAGTTCACCGTTTGCCCCGAGAGAGATACGTTCACAAGAAAGGCATCGTCATCCGTTAGCATCGACAGACTCTCGTCGGGGTGAAATTTGGGCTGAACCATAACCCCTGAGACACATACGACGCAGCTACCTTTTTTCAACCCTCCACAGAATTAGTCGAAAATCAAAAGGGATGATTGATGGGTTACTCATCTTCTCAGCGGTGTTGCACTAGGATCACAGCAGGACTGTTTCAGGAAAGTAAAGGATGGGGACATTTTCGAATAGCTACCCCCTCAACATAATTTATGAGATTCACAACAGCTTTCTCCCTTTCTATTAACAAACAAAGGGATTTGAATGCTATCTTTTCAATTCTTCTCTTTTGTTACAGGCCATCAAGAAAATAATAAAGCAAAATTCAAGGACATTTCAAATACTAGCTAATGCCCTTAGTTTTACTTTATATAAAGTTTTTTCTTGACAATTAAAAATTACATTTACATTGTAATAGATTGCAATAGATTTGGGGTTGGGTGCAGGAAGTGGAAGTGGGGCTGGGTGCAAAGGGGAAAATATCTGCTCTGAGGACTACACCAGTCTTTGTGTTTTATGTTGCCCCTTAGGGGTCGTTATTCACCATCCTTCAGTGTGACAGGTACGCTGTTCAATCTGATTTGAACAGAACTTCTAAATAAGCTTTCACAGGTGGTGAGAGGGGGAAAGAAATACTCTGAGCCCAGTTTTAGGCACAATAAGTTTACCTTTGGATGCAGAAAATGGCACGAAATGTTTGTGATTTTCCTAACGGCGAACTGGTTAAAAATACAACATAAGGCAGCAGTCTACATTGAGCGACAGTGCAGGTATACAACGTTCATTCATTTCAGTCTTGTAAGTCTGATTATTTCCTCATACGTAATTTTATTTAAAAATCAAGTGAATAATTTTTAACCCCAGTTAAAATGAGTACAAAACGAAAGAGCTATTCCATCGAGTACAAAAGGGAATCTTGGAAGACTCCAGGGATGTAAATCTTGCAGCATTCTGTAAAGAGAAGATGCTGAATCTCCATATGGTTCGTAAATGGCGTGCAGACTACGATTACCTGTGTCTGTTGAAGTTATCGTAAAATACTATCTGGGCTAAAAACAAAAAGCAATTAATTAAGTACAAATAAACGAGGAAGCATGTTAAGGTCAAGCAACGCAACCATTTTATTAGCGCATGCTACAGTCGGCTTAAGAAAAACTAGAGAGAGTAAAAACATGAGTTGAGTAGTAGTTTGTCTGATACAGAGTTGTTACCACAATAGTGTCAACTGGTGGACCAAGGAAATGAGAAAAAACGCTGAGTTGGATCAGGTCGGAAGCCGTTATTTTCTGAGTTGGAAGATTGCATCTGGGAATGGATTGCAGGCAGGAGAGCAATGGCTTTGGTTGTGCGCAGGGCTGATATTCAAAAATTTGCCCTTGAAACAGCAATTGAATTTGATATATCCACAGAAGAATTTAAAGCATCGTCACACTGGTTGGACAACTTCCTTAAACGATATGAACTGTCTCTAAGGAGATCAACAACATTGTTTTAAGCTGGAAGACAATGAAGTTGTTAAGCGTGCACTTGCGTTTAAGCTTTTTGTTGATGGCATCGATTTTTCGAAATACCAACTCTGCAACATGATTTCTATGGATGAGACCACGGTATTCCTAGGCCAAGGAGCTCAAACGACCAGTTCACCACAAGGCTTCTTCGTCAATTTACGTTCTTCTACCACCGTTACGATAGTGCACGTGTTACCTGTATTTTGGCGATTCGTCTAGATGGCAAGAAAGTATCGCCATTTTTAATCACTAAAGGTAAAAATAGACCAGATTCAACGTGTTTCAGGAATTTATGTCATTGAAAGTGAAAAAGCCTGGTGCACCCAAGCAGTTATAAGAAAGTGGGTTGATTTTATGCTGCCACCACTGTTGAGGGATCAGAATAGAGGTTTACTAGTTTGGGATTCAGCCAGTACTCACCGCGCTAAAGACATGAAAAACTTTCTTGCTGAGAGGAAAAGATTGATCAAATAATGATTCCGGCAAGGAATGACTGGTTACCACCACAGACACTTGACATTGCAATAAACAAGCCATTCAAGGATCATTTGCGGATGGAAATCAATGAATATATTGAAAAACAGAATGGTGAGAAATCATCGAGGTAATTTTGTAAAACCAGGCTTACAAGAATTGTGAATTGGGTAAAAAAATTCATGGGACAAATAACTGATAGTGATGTTTCAAATGCACTATGAACAGGCTACTTAGACAAGAAGTATTCATTTAACGATAGCTATATCGCAAGACAGGAGAGATTTGGACCAATGATTCAACAGGAAATGGATTTAGAAGAAATCAGAATATAATTCAGAATTTTATTTATGACGATGTTCCAGGAGAAGATGACATGACTGTAATTGAATAAATTTAAATTTCTGTATTCTGTGTAAAATAAATATTAAATAAAAATATATAAATATACTTTTATTTTTTCCCTTCCCTGAAAATAAGCCCTAACGCATATTTTGGACCAAAAAAGAAAGTAAGACAATGTCTTATTTTTGGAAAAAGACGATAGTTGAATTTCTTTTTGCAAAGAGGTTATCTAGGTGCTGTTTGATAGTATCCAAAGATGTGAACTCCGGACCATTGAAGTGACTGAAGAGAGGAAAATCCAAGGGCCAAGACTATGAGAGATGATACATCCCAGCTACACCCAATTATTCTGTGGGCTCTTTGCTTTGATCTCTGTTTTAAACTGTCATTTGGGAATGGATTTTTGGGGGCATTTTTTGTTTAATTTGGTGGCAAGAGCTCATATTACATTGAAACCTTAGTTCAAGAATTTTATCTGTTCCTGAAAGCCATTCATCAATCAAAATATTCATAAACCGAAACAATTTCCATTGTAGGAATTAATGTAAAATATATTAATTCATTCCTAGATCACAGATGATTCATTATTTTACAACTGTACTTTGTGCACAAGTTCATAATACATAATAAATGGAAATTAGTAAATATTAAACAAAGAAACATAATAGTAAATATATAAAATAGACCAAAAACTTAATTTAATTTTACTGCACCTGTATAAATGAAAGGATACAGCATACATGGAAAATCAGGAAGATGTTATTTTGGATAAAAAATTTTATTCTATAAAAATATGGGATAAATATCTTGAATGAGACATCTTCTTCATCTTTTCTTTGTCTCTCCGTGAAACTCCACTCTGCTTGTGACTCACTAGGCATATGTTTTGCTTAAACTTTGCATCTTGCTTCATTTTGCACAAATTTTGCAGAATAGAGAAGTAGTATCATTTTCCTCTTCCTCCTCTTCTTCTGAAGGCATTTCTTCCACAGTCAACTTTTGTTGCTGCTTCTGAAGTTATTGTTGTTTCTGTGGTTCTTTCTTGTTGAGCTCATTTTTATGAGCCTCTGGTAACTTCTGTGTGTCTTACTTCTGAGCCATGGTTTTGCCTTGAGGCATAATGTCATAGATAATAAAAAATGTCCCAAATGTCAAGGTCTCTACTTGCCACCCAATCTTGCCATAATTTCCTCGGAGCCCAATTCATGATCTTGTAAGACACTTGATGCCAGAAATTGTTAATGAGATTTAAGCAATGGAAACTATTAAAATAGTGTTTCTTGAAGGCCTTATGTGTTAATTATATGGCATAGTAATCATCAGAGGCATTAACTATTCAGGTTATTTATTTATTTATTTGTAATTCTAGGTTTCACTTTATACAGTTCCTTTGTAGCTCCACCATACTCAAAGCACTACTTTTTGTTAATGCAGCTGCCCCCTCTCTGTGTTACTAAAGGTGGCTTACTCTGTGATCATTTTCTTGTAACATTATTGTATACTATTCACTTTTTATCTCCACTAATGAGCTGTTTCAGCAAAGAATTACATGGCAGAGTTCGAGCAAACATATTCTTCTGTGTATGGGTACCCATACATCCTAGAGGCATATATACCTTATTCTTCTTCAAATGGTCATGTACTGTACTTTTTGGAAAAATTAGTGCATCTGATAATTCCTGAACTGTATAACATGGATTTTCAGAGATAGCTTCTTTTAATAGGTTCTTGTGTGCAGTGGATGGTTGTTCAGAGTGGGCATCATCTTTGAGGTTGAAATTTCCATGCTTAAACATGGCCATCAGAAGCAGCACGTTGTCCATATGAAGCACAAATTTTGTGAGCAGTCTGCTAGCATTTTTTTTTTTTTTTTTTTTTTTTTTTTTTTTTTTTTTTTTTAAATAGAAGAGTACAATATGATGAAAATAAACTTTTGAGTTTCATATTCTTAGCATTGCACTAAAATAAAAATTATGCCCCAACACATGCTAGAATTGTGCAACGTGACTAGAAAAGACTATATTTAAACATCCACTTCAATCAAGGTAACTCTTTAGCAACAGAAGCAAAATAACTGAAAGAAAGCACATTTTGGTTTAAAAAGCTGCAGAACTTTCCAAATTATCATTTATATAGCTTTAAATTAAATTTATATAGCTAAATTTTTACTGCTGTTACTTTGCTATTAAATTTAGTGTAGTTAACATAGTCATTTTTCATTTTTAGAAGAGATAACAAAGCACAAAGGTCCTCCAGTATTTACAGAACAGGAACGTTATAAAATGGTTCGAGCTGTCAAATGGGTTGATGAAGTAAGATATTTACCTTTTTTAAATCCAAGTATAGTAATTTAATTATGCTCTTATATATTTTAACATGAGAATAAGAGGAGAATTGAGAGAGATCGTGCACATTGTTTTTTAATAAATGAGAATTTTAATCTAGGAATTTTTAATGAAACATATTAAAAAAATGGCAAAAAATATTTAAGGAAGCATGTTTTTACTGATTATTCAAAATATATATGTTCCTCAGACAGAAATTTTTTAACCTTCTGTTGTTTTCCCTAATAATAAAGTGATAAAAATCAATCTCTGCTAGTTCTGGCATTTTTCAAAAACATAATTTGCACTGGTACTCATTTGTAATCCATTTGCTAAATTCTGGCAACTAGCCACCAATAAATCTGTAAGAATACAATACCAGAGCTGCCATCTCTGTTTGTAAAATTAGGAAACTCGGGGTTTTTTTATATCTTTTAGTTTGTCATTAAATTATCAAATCTAATTATTTTTATAAAATAATGATATTGTTGTCTTTTAATGAAACTTAAATTGTGTGAATTCCATATCCTGTCTTGGTGATTTTCATCATTATGTTTATAAATAATTTTATGTAATCTGACTGCTTTAATGTATTACAGATATTTATACTGTATTTTTATAAAGATTTAACTATTGTTTAGTAGGTAAAAGAATTTGTATTCAATTTTGCTCTAAATTTCTGAGTGGTGCATTTTTAATTTCACCACATAATTAAAATCACATGAATTTTTAATTTTATTTTTAATGCTTAATTAAGTACTTTAATGAATAACAATTTTCCTTGCTTTCATTAATGTAACAATTTAAGGAAATTATAAAAAAGAATAAAATTGGGGCAAAATTACAACTTGACCTGCTGCGTGACTCTTTTTTGGACCTATCATGAAGACCTGTATTTTTTAGCTAAATTTGTATGATTATTTATTTTAGTCCATATCTTCATAAACTTAAATTCATTAAGATGACATTTACATTATTAAAGAAATTAAGAAAGGCAAAATATCTTAAATTGTAAGCTGATATGTTTCAAGTGACAAAAAATCTCATGACCAAATAAAAGCTGGTCATGCCACTCAGAGGATTAAAGTTAAATTCAAATTTGCAATAAAGAAATAAGGCGGTGTGTTTTATAAAAAAAATTCACATAAGAACTAGTTTTAATAATCTGAATCTGGCTTTCATTATAAAAGTAACTGTGATTTATTAGTCCGGAGCTATTTTGGAACTGCGTCACAGCATAATGCAAAAAATCTCCGTTTATCATATTTCAGTGTCAACAGTTCTGCAGTACAATTAAATTTACAAATTATTTGAATTTTTGTCGTAATTTCTCTCAACCATTAATTATCCTAACAATAAGATTAGCAAGGCCACATTAAGACTTTTAGACGCCCAGCACACTTAAAAGATTTTGATGAAGAGTTCCAAAAATCATTTTATGGTGCCCTCATTTCTTGACGGCCTCTAAGAAAAGGTTTATTTTTTTAATGGCTGATTCAGCTCTGGATAGTAGACTTACCATAAAACATATGCTGCTTCCAGAAGTTTTAGTTATACCCTTCCATTCAAAGCAAAAGAAGAAATGTTGAATATGTATAGTGCAAGTACAAATTCAAATAATTTTTTTCACGATCTCTGAAATGATTTATCTCAAGATAATGTTCTGCTAAATATTGTTTGCTATGGAAATTTATATGAAAATTCAAATTAAGTTTCATTACAATTAATATTAAATACGTATATCATCATAAAGTTATTTCATTTAGGTAAAAGGAGTTAAAATCTGTGTAAAATATGTACTTAATTTTTGTGAAAGAATCAATTTACATAAACTATATAGATGACTTATTTCATGTATTTGCTTAATACATGAAATGCATTCTTTTTAATATCAGGAAGGGTTGTAATTTTTTTCATGCAATGTTGCTGCAAGAAGTTTTGAGTATACTTTACTGTTCCGACAAAAAGAAAAAAATAATTTTCTGAGTTAAAAGATTGTGAAATTTTATACTAGCTATATTCTTCTCTCATTTATATTTTTATCCTGAGTAACAAGTTGAATATTATTTACAATAAAGCAAAGTTATTTGTGTATGGTTTTATATGGTGAGTTTTTTGTTAACACATTTAGTTCCTTAATATGTTCCTAAATATTAGTATATTTTTTTAATTAACACATTTCATATATGTTATTAGCCTTCAAACTCTGTTCCTTGCAACTTCACTAGAGGATCTGCAAATCAAAATTTGAAGGAAATATTTGGGTGCTATGTTAACCATGAAACTAAATATCTAGAATAGTAAATTGAACCATACTTTTTAATTGTCAATTTAAACTGTGGAATAGATATTTTTTTATGAATAAAGTCCTGCTCAGTCAGGTTTAAGTAAAATGGCTTAGGGAACCACAAAGAAGAATCATTGATAAGGACAGAAGCCCATGCATTTATACTGCTCGATAACTGTACAAAGATATATAAACTTCTTAAGCTGTTTGGGAAGGGGGGTCCCCTCCATTGCATGAAAACTGTCTGACATTTTCGATAGCTCAGCTTGAAGTAATTTGCATTCTAAAAGATTCAAGTTGCGTTTCTTAGGTATTTGTAAAATCTTATCATACTGCAAGAATGATAAGATTTTGATAAGATTTGTAAAATCTTATCATACTGCAAGAATGATAAGAATGATAAGAAAAGTTACAGAAATATTAACTTGTTGGAGTATTTTCTAAAATTTTGGTTGTGCAGCTAGGTTTCCATCTTATCTTCACTCAATATAAGTGATTTATGACTGACATCTTGTATTCTACCTTCTGATAGCAGCCAAAGATAGGAGCTGTTCAGGGTTTAACTGAGCATATATGTTATCCTCTTTTGATGCAGTTAACTTCTCTGACAGAGGGTGTTTATTATGTAGCTTAGCTTTTTAAATATATGAGTAATTTTAGAGTTGGAGGAAGTATGAAGTGTTTAAGAAATGCATTTGGAAGTAATTCAGAAAATACAGCATGTTTTTAATCAAAGTAGACTTTTATTTCCATTCATTTCAAGATTAAAATGGATCATTTTTAAACTAAATTTTTTTAATAAATGATCTAAAATCTGAACCTCCTTGGATAACCTAAATTTGTAGTATGGTTTTTAATCCAGAAAATATTGCTACTGATAGTGAATAAATGCTGCACAGAGGTTGTTGAGAACAAAAAAAAGTGTTGACTAACAATTTGGTGAAAATTGTCAACATGAAATTTACAAGACTTGTACAGTGTTGTAACTGAATAAGAGATTACATCTATCTACAGAATTAAAGAGCAAATATTAACCCCAAAATTGACACAATTTGAATAACTTGAAATGAAAGAAATGCTTAATTAAGCTAACAAATAAATGTTTAGCTTTTTTTTTTTTTTTTGTTAAATTTTTTATTAATTTTATTTAAGGACATACATGCTTCATTATTTTATATAGTACTATTTCATATTTTTAGGTTTATAATTTCTACATGTGATCTTATTAAATTTTAATTGATGATTTTATATGTAGAAAAATCTCAAATCTGGAATCTTCAAAGTCTTGATGAGTCCAGATCTCATACTTTGTAAATCAGGGTTTATTTGTTTTGGGTTTATTTGATTATGGCAATGCACTCAGGGGTTCTTTGTCTAAAGGAAGGAATGCCTTTGGGGAGGACTAAGGGAAATTGGCTTGTAATACACGTTACACATGGAGAAACACCTATGCAGCCATTCCATTCATCAGGATTAGAACACTGGACCAAATTATCATTGCTCAGCAATTTAACCACTAAACAGCTGTTGGACATTTAATCATCAGGGACTCAAGGGCATTGAACTGAGGTTGCGCATACATTAATTTTCATAAGGGACTGGCATTTAATGTGTTCTGACTGAGAATTATCTAGAAGCAAGGGCTCAGAGATAATTAGAGTCTTTTGTACAGATTATAGAAATCTCATTAAATCCAGCATCTTTTATCTGATTGATTCTTTTTTCACAGCTAAAGTATGTCTGATTCTAATTTCACTGTAATAAGAAATCTCTCTAGTTATTTTCTTTTATGCTATGGTTCAAGAATATGGCAAGCAGTGGTAGAAGAATCTAATAAAATAATTAAAATTTATTTAGTCTAAGAAAGTTTGAAGTAGAAAATGAGAATAGTTGGCTCTGAATGTAATGTTTTAAGTAAGAACCAAGAGTTAAAATGAGATTTTGTGAAACATATGTGATATATTATTGTAGCAATAAGGAAGTTTGGAAAAGTTGAAAATTTGGATTTATTATTGGAACCAGAAAAACAAAATTTATAATTTGCCTGTCTGTTTTTTTAATAGTAATAATAGTTTCTAAAAATATTTCTTCTTTCAAATGTATTTTGTTAAATAGAAACTAACATAATGTTTTCCTTTCAAGTACATAGAAAGGTACTTTTATGTAATTTTCATTCTAAATTTTAAAAAAATTTAAAAAGTGCATTTCAGTTACCTGTGCTTTTATTATTACCTAGTTCTAAACAGTTTTTTATCTCAATTTTTTAGACATTACTTGATTTAACTTTATCATCTATAATATGTTTAGGTGGTAGAAGCTGCACCTTACATTACAACCATTGAAACTCTGGATAAGTACAATTGTGACTTTTGTGTTCATGCAGGTATGTTAATTTTTATTTCTTATATACAAATTAAGGGTTTTAAATAATGTTTATACGTAGTATTTTCGTATGTTTAATAATAACATTAATAATACTATATTTCAATTAGAGAATAAAAGTTTTTGAAAGTTTTTTCTGTATAGTTTTTACATTAAAAATGTGGCAAATATAGTTTTCGTATACCTATTATGTTAGCTCAAATAAAACTTATGCATAGTGGAATTGCTGTGTATATTAATTAAGTATCCGTGGTTTCTGTTATCTGCAACTTTTTGCTCCATAATACATATTTTGAAAATTAAGAAAATGAGTAGTTTATAAGATATAAAATGACTGCCAGCTTGGAGAATGAGTTATAAGATGACAGAATACCTCAAATAAACATGGTTTATCATATAGTTAAATGGATGCCATGGCTTCATCATTAATGAGGGGAAAATATTGTTATTTTGGATCACTCTTGCATTGCTTTGATACACAATGTTCTATTATCCCTTGAAACTTTACAGAGTTTTATACATGCTGTATTTTATTGCATTATTCTATCTTAAAAATTAAGATAAAACATCAGAATACCAAAACTTCTAGAGAGAGAGTATATGCGAAAAGTGGGAAAATACAATATAAATATTGTAACTGTAACTGTATCTATTATTATCTTTAACCATAACTGTAATATAGTATAGTAGATGAGTAATGTAGAATAAACGATGTTTGTGTACATCTTGTAATCATCACTGAGCACGTACCCAACACATATAAAATACAAACACATGGCGCAGCCCGTCGTGATTAAAAAGAAAATCTTTTTTGAAGAACCATGCAGTTTCGTAAAGATGTTTCTAAATAAAAACAATCATGGGAAATTGTTTTACTGTGAAATCGAAACTTATATCGCTGGTAAGTGAGTTGTTTATTTTTTATTGGAAGTGGCTAAAAATGTATATATATAAACTATTTAAATTCCTAAATTAATATGGATGGATTAAAGCCACCAAGTAATCTAAGTTTCGAAGGAAATTTAAGCAAAAATTGGAAGAATGGAAACAAAAATTCCAAATTTATATGTTAGCGTCTGGTGGTATACTAAATCACCTGAAATTAAAGTAGCTATTTATTGCATATATTGGTGAAGAAGCACTTGAAAAATTTAATACTTTTAATTTAAGTGAAGAAGATAAGAAGGATGTTGACAAGTAATGAAGCTTTCGAAAATTTTGCATACCGAAAGCAAACGAAAGTGTTGATAGACATATATTTTTCTGTCGAACACAACATGTAGGTGAATCGTTTGATGATTTCTTAACCGATTTAAAGAAATTAAGTAGCAACTGTGGATTTGCATAATTAAGAAGATAGTTTAATAAGGATAGAATAGAAAGTGGAATTCTAAATAAAAATCTCAAAGATAGATATTAAGGGAAGATCAGTTAACATGGAGAAATGTATTAAATGGTAAAGCTTTTGAATTAGCAGAACTTCAGCTGAAAACTTTAACTGAAGAAATAAAATGAAGCTATCAAACGTAATAAATTTCGACCTTCAGAGGAAAAAAGTCAGCCTTGTAAGAAAGACTTTCATGTAAAACTAAAATTAAGGCTATTCTAGATATAAAACCACCAAAAAATGTGAAATAATTAGAAACTTTCCTGGGAATGATTACATATGTTTCTAGATTTATACCTAATGTATCAGAATTGACATCATGTTTAAGAGATTTGTTGAAAAAATAAGTTATCTGGAACTGGAATGCAACACATGAAAAAGCATTTAGAAGACTAAAAGATGTCTTGTAAATAAACCAGTTTTACAGTATTATGATATAAACATGCCAGTAGTTTTTTTATCTGTAGATGCATCTCAAGAAGGACTAGAGCAGTCTTACTGCAGAATAATTTACCAGTGGCATATGCATCTAAGGCATTAACAGATACACGAAGAATTATGCTCAAATTGAAAAGGAAACTTTAAGCTATTGTTTTGCGTGTGAGAAATTTCACCAGTTATAGTTGGAAAAAATATTACTGTGGAAAGTGATCATAAACCACTGAAATCAATTTTTAAAAAGCCATTGAATAAATGCCCTGTAAGACTACAAAGAATGCATATAAGATTACAGCCATATCAGTTTTGAGATAAAATATAAACCAGGAAAAGAACTTTTTTAGTGGATGCATTATCAAGATCATTCACTGATAAAGATCAGATTTCTTTGAAGGAGAAATAGAAGCTCATGTTGGATTAGTTGTAGAATGTACCAATGTCTAATGGTAAAATGGAAGTTTTTCAACTGGAAACAGAAAAAGATGAAGAACTACAAGTTTTAAGAATTAATTAAAACTGGATGGTAAGATGAAAAAAATTATGTTCCAGAACTGGCAAACCATATTTTAACTTCAAGAACATCAAAGCAATGGATTAATATTTAAAAATTCCTGTGTTGTTGTACCAAGAAGTTTACGAAAAGATATGTTAAGCAGAATTCATTATGGTCATTAGGAGTAGTAAAATGCAAGATCAAAGCAAGAGAAATATTATATTGGCCAGGAATGTCCAAAGAAATTGAAGATTTGTACTGAATTGTCAAACAAGTTTAAGTTTACAAAAGCTAATACTAAAGAACCAATGATATCTAAAGAAATACCTAATGGTCCATGGAAGTATTGGGAACAGACCTCTTTTACTTTCAAGGAAGGATTATCTAATAGTTTATAGATTATTTTAGCAAATATGTTGAAATTGGACATTTGGAAGATTTGTCAAGTGTAGCAGTGATAAAGCAATTGAAATCAATTTTTGCAAGACATGGTATTCCAAAAATAGTATATTCGGATAATGGTCCACAATATAATTTCAGGAAATATAAAAATTTTGCAAGAAGATGGAATTTTGAAACCAGAACTTCAAGTCCAAAATACCCACAGTCTAATGGAATGGTTGAAAGACATATTCAAACTGTCAAGCGAATGTTAGAAAAAGCTGTAGTTGACAACAAGGATCTATATTTAGTTTTACTGGAATAATCGTAACTCTCCTATTTCAGATGAATTAAGTCACCTTCTGAATTGATGTTTGGAAGAAAGTAAATGGATTGATGCCTATAAAGAGAATTTCATCCAAGCTAAATGATATGAAGACCATTAACAACATTTACTGAAGAGACAACCCTTACAAAAAAGTTATTATGATAGGAATGCAAGACCATTAAACCACTGAAAACAGGAGATCATGTTTACATAAAAGAGAAAGGGAAAAAACTAAATGAAAGAGGGAAAATTATAGAAGAAGCAGAAAGACCATGTTCATATAGGATTATAAGAACAGATGGAAGAATTGTAGAAAGGAACAGAAGAGACCTTCTTAAAGGAACTAATCAGGAAGTGTTTGCAATACAAAGCAACTATGAGAATGAAGTTATAGATGAACCCGAGATACATGAAAATAGTAGGAGCACTACAAATTTAGATGTGCCGGTAAGTCTTTCAAAATCTAACAGAAGTGTTGTGTCACCAAATAGTGAAAGAGGTATAGTATCATCAAATTTTTCAAATGGACATAACTACGTCACTCGATCTGGTAGGACTGTTAAGAAACCTTATTATTTAAAAGAATATGTTTAATTTTACTACTATTATTATTATTTTTTATAAAAAAGGGAGATGTTATAAATGTAACTGTAACTGTATCTATTATTATCTTTAACCATAACTGTAATATAGTATAGTAGATGAGTAATGTAGAATAAATGATGTTTGTGTACATCTTGTAATCATCACTGAGCACGTACCCAACACATATAAAATACAACACAGATACTGCATTTTATTATTACTTCATTCCTTTTTTAATCTTACTATATATATTTCCCTGTCAAGCTTTAGTATATTACATTATATAAATTACATTCTGTATAGCCCACAAATTCATATAACTACATAGGTCTTGAAGCTACCAGCAGTTATAGTAGAGCCAATATATATTCAATTTATATAAATGACTGTCAAATCTAAATCAGATGAAATACCAAAGAATTAAAGCTCTGAAATTAGCATAAATTCCCCCCTTTCTCTATAAATTGTAACCTTTTAAGTAAAAATAAAACATAACTTTAGTCATAGAATTATTTCCTTGATTTCAGATACAATAATACATCGAATTAAGGCTAAATTTCCATAAGCTTGGTAAGTTGGCACCAAACTATTTTGGCCTTCAAAATTTGTCGAATTTTTTTTTTTTTTTCGGTGGCAATGAAAGCACTAAAATGTGATTTTTAAACATAAACAGAATAGCAACTTTTAAGTTTTGCAGTACTGAAATGCCGTTATTTGATGTAAACAGAATAGTAAAATGAGATGATAAAATAATAGATGAGTAAAACAAAGTCCAACAGCTTTGCGAGTAAAAACATAGTCCTATCTATGTATTCATCATAAAATAGTAGAATGAATAACTCTTGTAAATAATTATTGAGTAAATAAATATATACACTTATCAGATCAGAACATTGCAAAGTGAATTTTAAACGTAAACAGAATAGCAAATTTTTGTTTACAGTGGTTATTATGTGCAAACAGAAAAGTAAATGAAAAAACAACGTGCATCAGCTTTCTAAGTAAAAACAAAGTTCTCTCTTTGCTACTAAATCTGAATAAGTGACATCTATAAATGGGTGGGACTTAGCTTGTGACGTCACAATGTATTCTCTACCAGATATAGAAATAAGTACAATAAGTTGTTTATAGTATTTCAAATTGCCATGATACAGTAACTGAATTCTACCAATTATTATAACAGTAAACACGGTAGCAACGTAATTAAAAATAAGAAACTCATCCTTCTTTAAAAAAACTCTTGAAACTTACTAATACATTCACAAAAATCTTTATTTCCGAATTAACCCAAAGATCCCCAATCAAAATCATCACATTCTTCAAAAATATCACAATCATAGGAAGACACTTCTTTCAGCAAAAGATGTTCTATTCCTTCAGATTCCACAG